TTTTTTGTTTTTTTTGTTTTTGTTTTTTGGCCTTAGCACCAAAAAATATTATTTAAAAAATTCAAAAAGTTATAAAATTTTCATCCAACGGCTTAGTATAGTAGGTATAAATTACAAAAGTATTTGTTTTAACTTTTTACAAACAATCATCAATTTTTAACTTCAATCAAATAAATCATACATTTTAAATAATAAATAAAAATAATTATTAATTATAATTATCAATTATATTAAAACAACCAATCCAAACAACGCCTAGATAGTACATAGTTCTTAGTTAATATTTGCCCTGAAGATTGCTTCATATAAAAAAGCATGTACGTACGGTACAAGGTATACTACTTTCTTTCTTTCTTTCTTTTTTTAAGTAATGCTTTCATACAATGAAAGAATAACAAATAATTTTTTTTATTAAATAAAATTACTCTATAAAAATTATATATTAAAACAAAATAAATTTAATTATTGTTTATATTATATTACATATATAAATGTTTTCGACGATTACATGCAGAATTAGTTAAAAATTAATTACATATATAGAGAAATGGGAACGGGATTACTTAATTCTTAATTGAGTACAGGTAACCTCTTCCTATCCGGGCCAATCCCTCAACTCAATCTAAAGCCCTTAACCATGTGAAATTGAGAAACCAAGAAAGATTTATCAATAGGTTCAAAATTTTTAACTAAAGCAGAAAAAAAGAAAAAAGAAAAAAAGAAAAAGAAAAAGGAGCGACCCCTAGCTAGCTGTTGCTCCCCTCCTTTCTCTAGTTTTCTTTTTTTTTTTCTCTCTTTTTTTTTTATATGATTTTGTTTTATTTTTTTAGATTTTTTTGGCCAAGGTCTTTGCCTCTCTTTGAAGCTGGTTTATGTGGGTGTTCTCTAGACAAAGACCATGTGAGTTTCATCGTTATTTTATATTTTTTTTTATTAAAAGTTTGAAGTAAAAGAGGTGATTGGTGTGCTCCGTATTGTTTTGAAATGCTTTTGGCAGCGGTGTATCTCAACAATTATGTACCTTTTTATCTTTTCATCTTAATGGATTATGTTAAGTTGACTTAATTATTAGATAAAATTTAAATTCAACTATAATACCTATTTAACTATTAAATTGCTCTACATATTATCATATGTATACTTTTAGTGTTAGGTATTGTAATGCCTTTAGTACGCTATACTATATAAGTTGGTTTATAACCCTTATAATTTTCTATTATTAATAAATAAATTTACTTATTTTTTTAAAGAAATATTTATCAATGAGACAATATTAGCACTTGGTATACTTGGCATGGGTGTAAGTACTTGAATGATTAAGTACATACCAAGTCACCAATACTTTATTAATTCGTAGTTTATTACTACATTTGATGTTAATTAACTGTTGCAGCCTTAATATTCCTTCAACCTTTTAAATACACTTTTAAAGTAATGAAGCATGAATGCAATTTAATTAGCCGCTACCAACCAAGTTACTGAGTCAGCAGTCTAGAAAACCATCCTTGACAAATCGTGTACAACATTTCAGAATAGAACAAGGTTTCCGGATAAGATGAAACTGTTTCTGACTCACCAATCATATAAGAACTGAAAATATGTGTAACAGCAAGTCAGCCATTTAGAAGGATAGTAAACTAATTAATTTCTTTGAAATGTGGGAATACTGCCAACTACAACTAATCATTGATTAAGTCGTACGCACCTCTCTCATACCTAATTTTGCTTCCATTATTTATTTACTTTTTTTCAACAGCTAATTAATGGACTCCACTTTTTCATTATATGAGTATATATTTACGCTTGTTATGCAATTTTTTATTAAAAAAAAAAAAGATGAGGAAACGAAAAATTATGATGTTTTGATTGTTCATTCTCTGAAAAATATATACAAAAATAATTCATTTCCAGCATCACTTAAAGTTCAACACCATCCACATTAGGATTTGAGTCGTGCTCAAAAACGGAAAACCCCCCCAAGTGATAGGTTACAGGAGTGTAGATGCAGTGCTGACTCACTGATGACGGTAAATTTGGAATAGAAAGTCGGTTGTATAAATTGCAAGGTACCGCTGCTTGTCCCTATATCGGAACTGGGAAAAATTCCAGAGTACAATTCTTCCTCTTCTTCTTCTTTTTTTTTATTTTATTAAATTTTCCATTTTAAATATATTTAAGATAGAAGGCATATGTAGAATGACAATAATAAGAAAATGATTTGGGTAATCAAGAGATTTTTTTTTTTAATTTTTTGGTTGGAATATTAAAATATAGTACATGCTTTGTAACACAAAAATTTTAGGACTTTTAAAGTTAATAAATATCAATTATGTACACAACAAATATGATTGTTTTGCTAATATAAGAATGATGAATCAATGGATACTTAATAATTTTGGATTCCAATTATAGTACGGACGCAAATTTTGTGTGGATTGAAACAAAGGACACAGCTGGATTAAATATCCCAATGACAAAAATAATTCAGGGCAGAAGAAGGAATAGTTTCAGCCTGATATTCTTGCGTCCCTGTGCTCTCGTCTCAATCCTCAATAGTTGTCCAATTAAATGGACCATCTAAAAACTAACAGTCCAACTAGTATCATTTCTTGCCCTCACCTCTCAAAATCAATGCATGTTCACAGCTAGATATATATTCAATGTTTATTATTATAATTATTATTATTATCTTTTCTCTTGCGTATAGCAGGGCTGAATTCTAACCAAACTTCTTTTTGTTTTAAAACAGAGACCTATAATTCCAACATTCACAAATTTTTTAAAGTATAGGGTGAAATCGTATGCCTCAAATCTGTGGGGCTAATTTTCTAATTAAAAAAAAAAAATCTGTGGGGCCAAGATGTTAATTCTTATTTGACTCATTGACTGGTTGAAAACTAGGACCCGAAAAATATAAAAAATAAAAAGTCCAACTTTCAGCACCTTTCTTATGACCGCATTACTCGGGCTAATGATAATAAATAGGTTAAATTCCTAATTTGATCCTTAAATTATTATATAAACCTTTGATTTGGTCCTTAAACTAAAAAAATTTTTGATTTGATCTCTAAATTATTGAACAGACCTTTAATTTGATCCATACTGTTTATCAATTTATCCCAAGTTGATCATTCCGTACGAAAACCAACTGACGTGTTTTATTATTAACGTGACACATGGCCATTAAATTATTATTTTTCATCATTAAATTATTATTTTTCATCGTTAAGTAATGGACATGTCAGCTACTTTTTGTACGAAAGGACCAACTTGAAGCAAATTAGTAAATAGTAGAGAGCAAATTGAGGGTTCATATAATAGTTTAGGGATCAAATCAGAGATTTTTTTAGTTCACAGACCAAATTGTGAGTCCATACAATAATTTAAGAACCAAATTGGAGGTTTAACCTAATAAATAACTTCACTATTTTATAATATAAATTGCATTAAATTATTAAATAAAAAACTCTCAACATTGGGGCTCATCCCTCATTTAACTATTTATATTTTGCTATTTGATATAATTCAAATTATAAAATATTTTTTTAAATAAAAAACAATAAATTTTTAAATAAAAATTAAAATTAAAACGTTTTAATACTTTAACAAAGGTTCCCTATAAAATTATATTCAAATTATAAAATATTTTTTTAAATAAAAAACAATAAATTTTTAAATAAAAATTAAAATTAAAACGTTTTTATACTTTAACAAAGGTTCTCTATAAAATTATTTAAATATTTTTAATAATTTTTTTACATATAAATCTGTTAAGAGT